AAACACATGATTCAAGTTCATAGGTCAGTATTATTAAAAATATTATTATAATATATATACACAATTGAATTTTATTTATATTATAATAAACAAACAATACATTTATTATTATTATTATTATTATTAAAATGTTACTTTGTTGCTCTTTATTTAATAATAATTGAATAAAAAATATTGTTGCTTGGTTACTGCTTAATTGTTATATTAAGCAGTATTTTATGTGTTCTAAACAGCATATCTTCTTTTTGTCTTTCTTGGAAGTCTTAGGAGAGATATTTTTAGTGAGCTATTCCTCAAGTAAACAAATCTCATCACAATTTTTAAAACGTTTTTGCATTCTATAATGAGCGAGTTTGTCAAATACCATCTGAATCATCTTTAGTGTGGAGAAAACGGCATATTTTCAGTGCATAGATCAGTCATATCTATCATCAGTGATCACCAAAATGTTTAATGCATGACTTGTTATTTTCTTTCCTCATTTCTGTCAACACTACTAAATATCCTACAACATATGTGAATCATTTATCATTCAAATCTGGATCTGCACTGGTCAAAAGTGTCTGCCAAATAGAAATCTTTCTGGCCAAGTGGAAATGGAAATGTTTCTTCTATGGCTATGATTCTACAACCACATTGCTCATCTAATTTTTCCAAGCATATTATAGCGATTTTTAAAAAACTCACACGTACATACTGCCTTTTTAAAGCATTATGATAATACAATTATACAAACTGTGTTATTGTGATTCTGATCCCACTAGTCTAAATATAGAATCAACACAAAGGCAATTTGAAGCACTTATTTTTCCATTATAAAAAAATGGAAATCCCATCTGTAGCCTTCTTCTTTAGCTTTGATATCAAGGGCAGTTCTGCATTTTCACTGTACACTGCAGCATTTTGATAGCATGCGTTTTCTCTATCCTGTTTTGTGTCTTTGTCCTCTATCTTTCTCTCTCTCACCGTGTGTCCACATCTGTCTGTCAAGGTAAAAACAAAGTCAGACTACCCTTCACTGACTTTATTTAATTTCGTACTGTGTATTCACTTCATTATCAGATAAACAATGTACCTATATAGAATGTCCATCTGCTCTATTAATATGCAATGTAATACCATAGACGTAAATATTTTTTTGTCTGTGAATGATACACTTAGTAGCCCTTGATACATGCTCTGTATATTATTATGATTATGTTGATATAAAACAGACACACTCACACTCACAAATGGCAATCGACTATGTAGCAATGATCAATGAAAGGCCAACCACTCATCAGCTGTAACTTGGTTTCCAGTGGCTGCAAGCCAAGGTTGACTTTGTACCAATCTTATGTAAAACAATATTTACCTTTCTTTGACGTCTGTGTCATTTAGTGGTTGATTACCAAAACCCCATTAGACCTTTAAAGCTCACTCTTTCTTTCATATGGGATGGCTGCTGAAAATGACACTATTACAATATTACTGTTTTTCTGCTGTATTTCTGATTAAATAAATGCAGTCTTGGTGAGTATAAAAGACTTTTTTACAAAAACAATGACCACAAAGTTTTTAACATTAGTTTATACTCACTCTCTGGAATTAAGTGATTGTGACAATTCAGCGCATTGAATTATTGTAGCGATATCTTCTAGTGCCACCATGTCAGTTCATCACATAGGCATCATTATCAAAGCTGTATTGTGTATATCCAGTTAAAGAATATCTCTTTCTCACTTTGTTATTTCATCTGGTTTGTATTTTGTACAGCACAAACCACAGATTTTTCAAACAAACAAACCCCCTGGCCTATGCAACTTCATTTCTTTTAATTTTATTAATTTTCCCATTTATTTATTTATTATGGGATAGTTGACCGTTTCCAGATACTTTCTTAGCATCGTTTTTGTTTTAACCAGTTACACTTGCCAAAGGGAATGACATTTGAAAATCAAATTATGCTGGAGTTGTGCCAGGGATGATAATGAAAACCAGGCTTACTGTTCAATGATAACGGGCTAATACAAATCATAATGCTGATAGAGGAGACGTGCTGTAAAAATAATGATTTGGTTTTTTAGTAGCCTATTACACTTTTTTCACAACTTTAAAACCATTTAGAACATCTTTGACGAGCAAAAATGACACTTTTTACCTTCTCTTGTGTAACTCAATGTTATTTGAACACTAAACAAGTTGTTTAAAGTTTCTAGAAGAAATCCAGACCAGTTCCCTTCCGCCACTGCTACTGAGAATAATGAGTGAGCTTTGCTGTAAATAAACAGCGCAGTCAGAAGAATACATCTCCTATAGTGTCAGCCAGGTCCTGACATTTTCTGTAGAAGTAACCAGACTGTTTTTGAAGCTCAGAACAGTGATTATCTAAGGTGACTACAGTCATATTCTGAGTCTCTCTTTGGTGGCCAAATGAGATTTTAGGATGCTGCTGTGATAGTGATGGTGTTATTATGCCAATTATGAGCCTTACTGTGTGCCAGGAAGCTGGCTTGCACATACTGTATGCTTAGCTTTGATTCGCAATGAGCATGATATGGACTTGTTAGAATAATTTAGTCAAGTTTGGTAATCTGTGCATGTCATTCCAGTGGAGCTGTTTGGGTAAATTTGTCTTCAAATTGAAGTTGATGTGTGAACCCCATTCAGAGGCTACATAGCTTTGTCAATGTGCAGCAAGACACATCTTGAGGTTTAACTAGAGATGCCACTGACAGCTGTAATTTACAGCTCTTTGTGGTCTCAGCAAGATTTCTCGCAGCACTGTGACAGGGATTCTTTGAACCTGCTTGCTATATGAGGCAACTGAACTGATTTTTATGCATATTTTCCCCAAGGGTACTGTAGGCAAAAGTTGTTTGGAGCATAATAAGGCAAAGTGATTTAATGCAAATTAACTTAGACATGCCATGCAATAGAACTCCATTTACTTCCTTTCAAATGTCTTTAATTTAGGTATATTGTCCATGATAGCACATGGTTTAAAAGGTAAGTTAGATTATCGGAGTTGAACAAACCATTTTCTTGCAAAGGCCCCCTGGGATATCTGAGGTTCTGTGCTATCCAGCCAAATGAGTGATGGTGAGATACGAGCTCACCAGTGGGGCTGGAAAACATTGAGGATGTAGTAACATGGAGTGATTTAATTCTCTTGAAGCTGACCAATTTGACACACTGAGGAAGATCCACTGTTGGGTGTTAAGAGTGAAAGCAAAGCTGGTGACTTCGCACAGTCGATGGATTGCACATTGTCAAATAAAGGCTATTTATTGATATTATCCATGATTCCATGAAGAACCTTTACAGAGATAGTAATTCTGTCGTCATTTACCTTCAAGTTGTTCCAAACCGGTATGAATTTCTTTCTTCAGTTGAACATAAAAGAAAACATTTTGAAGAATGTGGGTAACCAAACAGTTGCTGGTCCCTATTGACTTCCATAGTATTTTTTTTCCACCATACCATGTAAGTCAGTGGGGAACAGCAACTGTTTGGTCACCCACATTCTTCAAAATATCTGGTTTTATGTTCAACAGAAGAAACAAACTCTTACAGGTTTGTAACATGGACCTTGAGGGTGAGTAAATGATGACAGAATTAATATTTGAATATCAACAGAACCGTTTTATTGCACAAAAGGTTCTTTACAATGGAAAAGTTAATTCAGATTCTATAGAATCACTGTAAAAAAAAAAAGGCCCTTTTTGTAACCTTTATATTTTTAAGTGTTTAATGATGATTTGGTAATATTCTTTATCGTGTCTTTTGTGATCTATAAAATCCCTTTTCTACTTAACTTTGAATTATCATAGTCCATTCAAGTTCACATATTCTAATCCTCTCCAATGTGACTATCACAGACAGATTAACAACATATTTCAAGGGCAATGTGATCTGCATGTAAAAACACACGCAAAAAAAAATAAAGAAATCTGCTTTTTGTTTGTTCATAATAAAATACATTCAAATGTAAAAAATTGGATTACATTCCATTTTAAATTATGAGAACGTTATCGTCATACATTAATTATTTATATAATTTCCATAACTAATTTTTCATGTCTTTCCTCGGCCGACATTATTTTAGAAGCGTGTTGACTTTGAGAATTTCTCCTGACCCTGGTATGCAGCATGTGCGTCCACTGAGAGACGCTGACGCAGATCAGGACTCGGGCATTCAATTGATGGAGTGTGATAAGGCCTTTTGGGGCATACTAATAAGTTATCTTGAGGTGGATATTCAAAATGTGAGCTGCAACCTCTCAAATGCTACCAAAGATAAATGTGATTCACTGATAACAGTGTTGGCTGATATGTTGCATGAATTAGACAAATATTTTTGTGTTAATGTATTTGAGAAAGACTTCTACTGGGCAATATTATTAGTATTTCAGGAATATTATCTATTTTCTTATACAAAAAAAAGGATTTTCTCCACCTGATTCTGTTCTATATTCCCATTATACATGTTATTTGACTGCTCAAAAAATAGCCTATTTTTCTTAATCATAAATCGCCCCTTAATAAAAAGAAAATATTACAATCAGTCAACATGCAGGAAAGCACACAAGAAAACGTTTGAAGAGGACCTTACTGATTTGCAATAGAGCACAAGGACCCCTAGTGGAAGTCGTGGGTAAGGTCTAGTAGGGAGAACCATTGAGAAGATGTATAAGTGGTGATATCGTGACGCGCTCCATTCAGTGCGAGCTGAGTGAGAGCAAAGAAAGGTTCTCCACCTCAAGGACTCTCCTTTACACCTACTCTATCATCAGCTGGACAACCTGATAAAATGGATAACAACTGTAAGTACTTGGACATTAAAAATTATATTTACAATAAAAAATATATATATTTGCAATACTGAAAAATATGAACAAGATATTTTTTATAATTACTGGATAACTGCATCTTTAATGCATCCATTTAATTTATAATTCATAAAAAGCTTGATTAATCTCTGTTTGTAAAAAAAACAAAACAAAAAAAACATAGGGCTAAATGTGATGTACCAAAAAAAAAAAATCCATGCTTATTGTGTTTATAGTTCACAGTGAAGGTTGAACACAGCTGAGGGATCACCACCAAGCAGCAAAGGACTTTCTTTCCCTGTTCCTGGAGATCCTTGTCGTGCCACCTGTTAAGTGACTATGCACAGGCTGATTATGTGCGAGGAAAACTAATCAGTTCTTTTACATTTGTGGAGAAGTAGGTGCGCGCTTTTGGCACCATGGAGGACATCTTCAAGGATCAAGACTTATGGTCTTTCAATGAGTCATCTAGAAACTCCAGCGTCAACAATGAAACTTACGGCGTGAACCAGACGGTGAACCCGCTGAAGCGGAATGAAGAAGTGGCAAAAGTGGAAGTTACTGTATTGGCCTTGGTGCTCTTCTTGGCACTCGCTGGTAACCTTTGCGTCCTTGTTGCAATTCACACGACCAAGCACAGTCAATCTCGCATGTATTACTTCATGAAGCACCTCAGCATTGCAGATCTGGTCGTGGCTGTCTTCCAGGTACTTCCTCAACTCATCTGGGACATCACGTTTCGCTTTTATGGACCAGACATCCTGTGCAGGTTGGTGAAATATCTTCAGACCGTTGGGATGTTCGCCTCCACGTACATGCTGGTGCTGATGTCCATAGACAGATGTATGGCAATCTGCCAGCCTCTTCGTTCTTTACACAAGAAAAAGGACCGCTGTTACGTGATTTGTTCTTGGGCACTAAGCTTACTTTTCAGCATCCCACAGGTTTATATATTCTCCTTACGGGAGGTGGGTTCAGGAGTTTATGATTGCTGGGGAGATTTCGTACAGCCTTGGGGAGCGAAAGCCTACATCACGTGGATGAGTCTGACGATATACATCATACCAGTGACCATTCTGAGTGTCTGCTATGGACTGATAAGTTTTAAAATCTGGCAAAACTTTAAAAGGAAGACGAAGAGGGACCAGTGTATCACTCTCACGCCCAAGGCATCGAAAGGCAGTGCGCTCGCGCGGGTCAGCAGCGTCAAACTCATCTCCAAGGCTAAAATCACCACCGTTAAAATGACCTTTGTTATCGTTCTGGCTTATATAATGTGCTGGACTCCGTTTTTCTCCGTACAGATGTGGTCAGCATGGGATCCTGAAGCACCAAGGGAAGGTGAGTTTCTTGTAACAGTTTGATTAGCGTTTACGCACGTGCAATGCAAAATGGATTCTGAACACGAGGCTGACTGTTAACTTTAAACCAATGTACCTTGAGGCATCCATTAGGCAAGCTCGATTAATTTTAGATTCCATTAATATTTTGGTGCCAATTACAAAGCGTTCCTTTATTTTGCTCCTGGATTTACTTGCTATATTTTCTGAAGAAAAAATGTGCTTTTCAAAACATGTGCTTTTTTTTTTCAATATTGAACATTGATGGAGAAACAGATTTTGTGTGCAAATAAATCATAAAAGTGGTTTGTTTTGTTTAAAATCTTATACATGTTTGAGGTGACCAGGTGGGCCTTTTACACCACACACGGTTAATACAATCACTTTAGCAAAGTTTGAGAAATAAAATAATTGATTCTATTTATTTTTCTAAATTATTTGTTCAACAAAATGAGATACTTTAAAATGTTCATTTTAAAAATTACAGAAACAAAAAAAGTAAAGATTACGAAAGCATTGAAGGAGATCCCCACCCCTAATAGTTTAAAATACAGTAGTAACAATAAATATGACATTTTATTATCTGATTATGATTTATTAATCTGATATGATTAATATCATATTTATATGATATATGATGGTTTCATTATAAATATAGTGATTATCTCTGAAGTGGACACCCAACTTAATGTATGATATTTACCATCTGAATCTAACCATGTTATGTCAACAAATGGAAAAGTCAACCAGCCAATGTTTTCAATTAAGAAATAAATAAATTAAAAACAAAAATAGGCATACCTTTAAAGTTAAAGTTGTCACGGACACAAAAATTAAATGAAATAGCCATTTCAAAACACATTGTCAACCAGTAATCTGAATATTGGTGATATTGTTTTATAATATGCAACTTTTTAATGGAAAAAGCATTAATAATTATCAACGTTTTTAAAAACATTTTTAAAATTTTCATAAAATCATGACCGCAATGTTTACGTGTAAATAGGGGGGAAAGGGTCCAGGATATTGCTAAATATCAGTCAATAAATGAAAAATAGTTATAGAAACAACTTTTAATAATAGCCTTATTTTTTCTGAAACGTATATTAAAGTACCTCTCTAATTAAAATCTATATCCTATACAGTAGGGTCAGTTATGACGTCAGATTGTAGGCCAATCCAAAAGGCTGTTTGTAATGAGTTCACTTGGAAGTTCCCTCAGGGGTGGCGGTTTTCAATTAATGAGCAAAATAAGATGTAACTTCACTTAAAGAGACTTTATTTTGTACTAAGACAAATTACATCAGTCATACCTCAAACATGAAACCTGAAGCCTGTGCATTTTAAAAACATAAGGTTCTACTGTCACCTCAGCAGCAGGATGGTGTTCATGTATGATAGTGTTTTCAGCCCTGTACTAGCTAAACGGATGTCACAATGCTCCCCGTTTCACTTTTTTCTAGAATGATAAATGTATTTTCAGCTAACATATCTGAACATGGAAAGCTATTTGCAGTATAGGCTAGGCAGTTGAAAATACAATTATCAGCTTGGTCATACAGATAAGATTTGAACAAGCCTAATGAGTTTTCAGAATCATGCAAGATGGTTTCTGACCGTGACATTGTGTTCTTTCAAAGACTCGAGAAAAGAAGCTTTGATTTATTGTAATTCTTCAGATAAGAAGGCTCTAGCAGTACAGAACTAGAATTGCTGTGATGGTCATCTTACTTTTAAATCACTACAGATGTAGTCCGCTAAAAACGGAAGAGCCATAAAGACCAGCCTCGGGGAAACATTAATATTCAGCAGAGCTGCACCACTTAAATCATGACCGTCTGCAGTATGAGAAATCACCAACCCAAACAAACCCAGGGAGAATTGATGATAAATAACTGTTGTTTTGAATATATAAAAGAATTACTTAACTATGACAATAATATATTACATGTGATGAAATCGTGTGTTCGACAAATTGTTATACAAATAGTCATTTTGTTTTTACGTGCACACAAAGGTCCAGGTTTTCAGTAGACAAGAGACATTTAGAAACCCTAAATCTTATCAGCTTACCAAACCAATACTGTTACTGCATGGCTTCTCTTGTGTGTTTGAATGAAAATGTCAGTGAACAATGTTCTTGCCATGAGTTTTACCATGTTTGTCTTGCAGCAATAAAGAGATTAAGGTGAGGTCACGTGTCACACACTTCAGAGACAAAGATGAAATATTATCAGACCCAGAGGAAAGAGAGTGTGAGATACTCACTCGTATCATGACCACCATACAAAATATCCACACATCATGGCAAGTTCAGCAAATCATTCACACAGTCTAAATATTAGGACAACACTGCACCGATTTATGCATCAACAGTGGCAGACACAGTCATAGTGAAATGCCTTTACTAATGACATTTCCCCGAATGTGTGTAATAAGAGCTGTTTCCTCTGGCTGAGACCAAGGGATGAGTTTTAAAACACTGATGGTCTGATGTGCTCAAAGCTTAGCTGCAGCACTAATAAGAATAAATGATCTTCCAGATGAACTTATGTATGGTTGCTTTATTTTGAGACTAATGTTGGGTTTGGCAATGTCATCACAGGTTTGGCTACTAGTTATGTTCTCATTTCCATGACACTTACTTGAATTACAAGAGTAAAACAACTTTCAACAAGCATTTCACCTTTTTTGAACAGTAAAAATCTTTGCAGAAATCTCAAAATCAGATGAACATTTGGACAAATGACACTCGCTGACCTGTAGGGCTCCCAAAATAAAGAGTTGAGTTGAAAGGACATTTAATCTTTAATTAAACACCTTTCTAAAGTTTGGGGTCAGTATGATTTTTTTTAAATATAAATTAATACTTTTTTTCAGCAAGTATGCATTAAATAGATCAAGAATAACAATAAAGACTTTCACGGAGTCAGAAAAATAAATATTTCAACTCTTTTAACCTTTCCATGAAACTTTCCATCAAAAGCATCCTAAAAGAAGATTTCCCAAAGAAGATTACCATTTCCATTTCCAAAAAATAAAAAAAATTAAAATGAACAAGCACAACATTACGTTTGCAACATTAATAATGGGAAGAAATGTTTCATGAGCACCAAATCAGTATATTAAAATGATTTCTGAAAGATCATGCGACACTGAAGACTGGAGTAATGGCTGCATAAAATTCAGCTTTGCATCACGGAAATAAATTGTATTTTATAATTTATTACAATAAAAAAAACAGTTGGTAATATTTCACAATATTACTATTTTTACTGTATTTTTGTCTAAATAAATGCAGCCTTGGTGAGCATAAGAAACTGTATACTGACCCCAAGCTTTTGAACGACTGAGTCTATTTCTTTTTTTTTTTTGTGTATTTTAAGACCAATTATCATAATCTTGCAATAGTTTTTAGCTTGATGGGGGGGATAAATGTGCTAAAGTAGATCTTTGCATCCATCTAAAATGTTCTGTGAATCTTACTTGAAGTGTGATGAATATCTAAAGCACTTTTGCAGAGCTTCATATTAAAGAATATTCTCTTTCCTTCTCTCTCTGTTCATTAATCCAACTGCCGATGGTACAGAGATGTGCTTGCCCAGTTTTCTCTGATGCCTGTAAGCTCAGCACAAATAGGAGGTAGCAAACAGAAAAGCAATACACTTGACCGAAGCCCCATCTGGGTTTGTTGCTTACTCCTTCATTTTTAAATTCAATTTCCTTTTCTCTGAGAGACTAAAGGATCAAACCCAGAAACTTTATGTCTGTAGGTTACATGCGGATGACCACAAAAGTGCACAGAAACACATTGGACAAGTTCTTGTCAACTTGTTTGGGTCTTGAACTTTTTTTGATCATTGTATATTATTTATAATGGCCAAGTTTGCTTTTCTGCTGTGATGGATATGGTTGTTTGTTTGTTGAATGTTGGGAATTAATTCCCAACAATCTCCATATTCAGACCTGTGTTGGCACATGAATGTGTGGTTTCATAGTTTATAGGCTATATTCTAAGATGTTCTCACCTTCTGTTTGCTCCAGTTCCCTTTTGCTCTGCTGTAGAGTCTGTGGTGTACTGTAAGGTAGGAAAGAAAAAACACAGCATTGATCTCCAAGATATTCCTTCCTTTGCATGCTTTTTCTACTAGCTTTTTTTCCCCAACGGAGCCCAACCAGCACGACTTGGTTGTTTGTATATTCCTGACAGTCAGGTCTTTTTGTAAATGCACCGCAGTGTACTTTCAGAAAGATTTTGGGGGGGCTCAGATGGGTTCATGGTTCATGTATCAGCAGATTCTTCTTTTCTTACCCTCATGCATCATCCTTTTGTCAGAGTGAGGTCATCCAGAAAGAAAAAATTCTATTTTTTTTTAATAGCCCATATATGTTAGACCGCAATAGGCATGTCACATTTAATCGCAGTACACAGTCAGCTCACCACCAGAATACTAATGAGACTTGTGATTACTATCACCTGGTTCTCATTTCCTCTTTGCGCACTAACAATATTACTTAAGGACTACCCATGTTGCAATGTGTTTTGAGTTGCAGGGTTTGGTTATTTTTTCTCAAGTGTAAATCTCTGAACATAGATTGTCAATTTTTGTCTTATGCCAAGTTCACACTGCACGATTTTCAAAGTCATCGGGTCACCGTTGTTTTCACACTGCACGACTATCTGTGGTAGTCGACAATCACCGACAGCTCCAGATATTTAGCATGCAAAACCCGCCCAATTACTACTCAAAACTAGCCTGAAAATAGCCCAAGTGCTTTCGAGGGGGTCTCCCAGTAAAAATCGCGTTTGGGGGGTAAAATACACATTTTTTTGGTAGGGTTCTCCTGGTACAATTCACATTCCAGGGCTTAAATATCACATTATTGGGGTCGCTTCAACCTGCTGACATAAAAAACA